GTAAGTCTTTAATATAATGCCACATTTGTTTTTTTTTACAGCAATCATTTTTCACTACAGCTTCTGAACACTGAAGTGCCACAACAACTGATGGATTAATTGATTATTTGGTTATAAATGAACATCGTTGCTTTTTACTTTTTTAAGAAGGCATCCCCCTAGACTCTAGGGGGATGCCTGGGTTGTTACATCCCTTTTATTTTAACCTTTTTCTTCATCCCTCTCATGTCAGAACACAGTGATCGACCCAAAGAATGATCTGTCCTACACCATGTGGAAGGACATCCCTGTGCCGTTCTTCATGTCGGTCTACTTCTTCAACGTCCTCAACCCAAAGGAGATGCTGAAAGGAGAAAAGCCCATGGTGGAGCAGCGAGGACCTTATGTGTACAGGTACGCAATTAAATTAATCAGATTAATGTCTTCCTAGACAGCACCCTGTTTCATCACCTGTGCATGCTTTTCTTTTTGCTTTATTGTACCTTCCTATCAGTAAACTTTGTCCTGCATTCTTGATAGCTGTTGCAAGGTGCATTATAGTTGCACACTTAACATAGACTGTATATAAAAATGGATGAAATGACTGCCCCCCAAAAGTCAAACCAAAGCATTTTGATAGCTCTCTGCTGGTTTCTATATGAATTATAATACTGTCCTCCTCCACGTTAGTAAATGGGTCATCACATACCTTTTTCTCAAACATGGTTTAAATTTAGGTCATTTTTATCACACTGAATTAATCAGTCAATCAATCAATCAAATTTTATTTGTATAGCCCATATTCACAAATCACAATTTGTCTCATGGGCTTTAACTTTCGTCCTATTTCTAACATACCTCCTCATGGCAGCTGACTCCAGACTGTTAACCATTCTCATCCTCCTTGATCTGACTGCAGCCTTTGACACCATCTCTCATCATACACTCCTCGACAGACTAGCCTCCATAGGCATCATTAACACACCACTGGATTGGTTCAAATCTTACCTCTCCGGCCACACTCAGGTCATCCATCTAAAACTTTTCAAATCTCAGCCATTCCCAGTCACTACTGGTGTTCCACAAGGTTCTGTCATTTGGCCCCTTCTGTTTATCATCTACTTACTTCCTCTTGGCCATATCTTCCGTAAATTTAACATTCATTTCCATTGCTATGCGGATGACACCCAGCTCTACCTTTCAACCAAACCCACCTCCATCATCCCGCCTACCTCCCTCTCTGACTGCCTACAGGAAATCATGTTCTGGTTCTTATGCAATTTTCTCAAACTCAATAGCGATAAAAACAAAGTTTCCTTATTGGCAACAAATCCACCTTATCAAAATCAGACAATCTATCCTTCAATAATGATAACTCTGTAGTTTCTCCTTCCCCTCATGTTAAGAGTGTGGGTTTCATCCTTGACAGCACTCTATCTTTCCATGCCCACATCAGTCTTTTTAAACAGGCTTTTTCAATATGATTGTCTTCTATTTTTTATTCATTTAATTTAATTATTTTATCGATGTTTTTGATAGGCGCCTTTAAATAAAATGTGTTATTATTAACTTAACTGATCCAAATTTGGAACATTTATCTTAACATTCAATTGTATCCATTAAAACATTGTACGGATATTGACTGGTTATTGCTCCTGCCGTGGTAAAGCAGAGCTCTAATTTTACATCTGATTGGCTCACTATGGAACACTATGTGCTCTGCTTCCAGTATGTAGGTCAGTCCGAACACATGCAACTGTACCTTTCTTTAGTCACTTATGCAAAAGGGGATGCAGCCTAAACATTGTTGTGTAACTATACCATGTGTGTAAAAGTAGGGAAGTGGAGCGGTTTTGTATCCATTCTAAAGCATCACTCAGCATGTCTGCATCAGCATGTGTTGACCTAGATTTTGTGGAACTGCCAACTTCAGTGATGTGGATGAAAACAGTCAAAGCAGTAGTAGTGAGCAGATTCTTACTTACTCATCACTTTGTCCAGGGGTTCTCACTTTACTGCTGCAGAGCAACTTTGAGTTAATGTTCCATTTTTTTAAAGGAAAATATTTTAAATAATTCCCTCTGGGGCCAGAAGCACTGCAAAGTGTGATGATGTTTATTGGTCTCAGATATTTCAATCAATCACATTTTGTGTGTATAGCCCATATTCACAAATCACAGTTTGTCCCATAGGGCTTTAACAAGGTGTGACATCATGGTCCACTACTATGATCAGATGCCAGCACGATACAGGATCCGCTGTTATCTCTGATTCGCGATCCACCATCATAATCCACGAACTATAAGCTTTATCAAAAAGGAAGGTTTTAAGCCGACTCTTAAAGGTAGAGAGGGTGTCTGTGTCCCGAACTGAAACTGGTAGATGATTCCACAGGAGAGGAGCCTGATAGCTGAAAGCTCTGGCTCCTACTCTACTTTTAGAGACTTTAGGGACAACAAGTGAGTCTGAATTCTGGGAGCACAATGCTCTATGGGCTGGATCACACCAGGATCAAATGGTTAGAATGCCCTTCTTATCTACTCTCTATCTTAACTATCATCATCCTCCTTATCACTCTATTACAATATGATTCTTTTTACCTTGAATCATGGCTTTTGCTCTCAAGTCTATTCCTGGATTACTGGAGAACAGGCTGGTTAATACATAAATGTTTTTCTTACCTTTTTCAGAAAACGCTGTCAGAAAGACAACATCACATTTCATCCAAACGACACAGTGTCATACAAGGAATACAGAACATACTTCTTCGAGCCTTCCATGTCTGTAGGGAATGAGTCTGATGTTGTAACAATACCAAATATGTTGGTGCTGGTAGGACATGATTTTTCCTCGCTCTACACACATCTTTCAGTTAACTGACTCACAACCTCTGCAGTTGTCTGCCTTTTCACCCCAGTCTGTGTTTTTTTCAGGGTGCAGCGATGATGATGGAAAATCTACCATTCGCGGTTCGTTTAATGATCAGCGCCACCTTCAAAAGTTTCAAGGAAGGACCCTTCGTGACCAAGACTGTCGGGGAACTGATGTGGGGTTATGACAGTGCACTGGTCGATTTCCTTAATAAATACCTACCCGGCATGCTGCCCATGTCTGGAAAGTTTGGCCTTTTTGCTGAAGTGAGTGTTTGAACTGGTTAATTATGCTCACAGGAGATTTGATCACTTTATCACCCCCAAGCCTCAGCAGATGACATGAACACACTTTTGCACCAGCCAATAGTCAATGTCAATTAGTTTAGTCCTCTACTGTGATAATTAGGCCTCCAGTAGTCTTGTAGAGCCATGTCAGTGCTGCAGAGTAGTTTGACCAGCCTTTATCATTCTGCTTTAGTTAAAAAATGTGTTCTGGCTGGTTTGTATGTCTTTAAAGGTCCAGTGTGTAAGATTTGGGTGAAAGGGAACTATTGGGAGAAATTTAATCTCAATAATCCTCATGATGTTTTCACTAGTTCGTTTCATCTAAATTGTATGAATTGTCTTTACCCCAGAAAAGACCCTTTATATTTAAATACTTTATATTTACATGGAGGGGATCCTCTCTATGGAGGTAGCCATGTTTTTTACATTAGTCCAGACTGGACAAACTAAACACCTTTTGAGTTTTTATGACAACTGAAACTCCCACAGGTTCTTTGTCATGTTTGGAAGGAGAGGGTGAGGTGAGGGGTGTTCAGCTGCAACATGCAACTTCAACACTAGATATCAGAAAATTCTACACACTGTACCTTTAAAACCAATCACAATCATCTTGAGTGGTGCTAAGGTCAAGATGCAAAATATTGTCTGTGAAGGAGGGGTTTGGTAGAACATTTTTACCTAAGAAGGAGATCATTGTCATCAAAATGGAAGTCTAAAAAGTCTAAAATGGCAAATTCTCCACAAAGTAAATGCCACAAGAGATAGTGAGGATGCATTTTCAGCATCTGTGTTGTTGTTGCTGTTGGGTGGAAGTGAAAGGAGAGGAGAATCCAGCCTTCCTGACACCCACAGTGTGCATCTGGTCATAAGCACTTTGTTGTTTTAGGCTTTCTAACTGCTGTTCCAGTCTGCAGATGTTTGTTATTCTCCACTTGTTTCAGTCAGCATGTGGTGTTCATGTTTATCTTCTAGTTCAACAACTCCAACACCGGTCTGTTCACCATCTTCACCGGACAGGACGACATCAAGAATGCTCATAAAGTTGATTCCTGGAATGGCATGACAAAGGTGAGACGTCAACCTTTTTATCAATACTGTCTGTGCTTTTCATCCAGCACCAACTGTCCTGTTTGTTCAACGTGCAATGTTTAATTTCCGGAATAATACCAAAGACTTATTTTGATGATGTCGGGAAGCAGCATGGGGTTATGAGAGTGGTTGTCTGCACCATTTCTTGTCTCATAATCTTCTTGGATCACTTGGTTGCCCCTCTGTGAGTCTCAGTCACACAGTGCGCAGCAAAAAGCCGTGAATGTTCATGATCCATAATTAGTGACCGATACAAACAGTGGAAAGAAATAACAACTGACTTGCTAACTGCTTAGTACCAAGTTTTTCCATTCTCATATGTCGTGTAACCCGCAAGTTCTAGCAGCCCGTCTCTATAGCGGAGCAGAGAAGGGCAAAGCCACGGGTAAAGTGTATATAATCCAATAAGTCTTTAGGCATTTTACTGAAGAATTATTACATATATCTTTAACAGCTGAACTACTGGCGGACCCCTCAGACTAACATGATCAATGGAACAGCTGGGCAGCTGTGGCCTCCCTTCATGACTAAAGAAAGCACTTTGCCATTCTACAGCCCTGACGCCTGCAGGTGAGTGATTTTTGTTTCCGCTTTTTCTCTCATTGCTCGTTCGCAAACGTACAAAACGGTTTCCCATGTTTTTGCAGATCTATGGAGCTCGTTTACCAGCGTCCTGGTGTGATGAAGGGCATCCCTCTTTATCGTTATGTTGCACCCAAGACCCTGTTCGCCAATGGGACAGAATACGCCCCCAACGAAGGTTTCTGCCCCTGTAGACAGTCCGGCCTGCTGAACGTCAGCAGCTGTCGCCACAGTGAGTATTCATGACAAATACATAACTTCATTTATGTCCTAATTTTTGTCTTCGTGTCCCTCCGGACACTGTGCAGTATGACATCTTGACTCAAGGCGGTAATGTAATGTTGTAGATACTGTGTACTGTCACTGTATGATACAGGGAGAGAAGCTGAAAGAGGACAATTCCTTAACTCTTTCTAAGGTGTCACCAGTGAACATGAAGTCACACAACTTCTGGTTTTTATTCCCATTTTGAGAAACATGCAAGTCAGTCATCGGTGTCTGTTTGGAGGCTCAAACAAACTCTTCCTGATGGCTGAATTTTTTCCATTTTCATTGTGGTTCAGATTACAAATCGTCCTGTTGCTTCTCCACAGACTCTCCCGTCTTCATCTCTCATCCTCACTTCTTTAATGCTGATCCTGTGCTCCTGGACTATGTGCAGGGCCTCCATCCCAATGAGGAAGAGCATGGCCTCTTCATCGACATTCACCCAGTAAGTGCACAGGACATTACATCGACTTCCATTGAGCTCCTGGAGACTTATACAAACTGTAAAGATTGTTACTACTTGCCTAACATGAACCTTTACCTAAACCTAACCTTAAAACATGTCTTCATCTTTAATTTGAAAGATTTACGTTATGAAGACTTGATTTTTGTCCTCATAAGGAACAAAAGTCCCCATAATGTGACGATGTAGATATAATTAGGTCCCCACTACATGGGTATTACCTGGCACACACACACACACACAGATAAGAAAGGGTTGCGTTTGTGGGTGCATTGGAATTTTATTTTGTTTCTTGCGAGACATGGAAATGATTTCTGTGACAATAATTTAGCTAAACATTTCTGATCAGAAATCCTTCAAACTTTAAATGAATTCACTGTGTGTTCGATGCATATTCTCATATCGTGATTACTGAGTAATTAAGAAGTTTTCCAATTTTTTTAGTTTAAACCCTAAAGATAGATTAAATTATGCATCATCACATCCTCCCCATCCTCTCTCACATGTGTATGTCTATATTTAATTATATATATTTTTTATTTATAGTTAAAACATTGTCCAAAATTAGCACAACTGTATACTCTAAAGAAACTGGACACACTAGTTGTATTCTATATACACGAGTATGTGGAATATATAGTGTAGAACATAGAACAGGAAGAGAAAAGATGTATTTTAATATAAAAACATATAAAACAGCAACATAACAGCGACACAGCAGTAGAAGTTAGAAAATATGTGTGCTATCACCTAAAGGCACTACAAGTACCTGAATTAGCACCTTAGATAAAACAGTGTCATATAAGAAGTGGATGTTGAGAGTGCCATCACTCAAGATCTCAGATATAAGAAAAAAAAAGAGTGACCTCAGATTGTTTTAGTGGGGCTGTTGATGGCCTTGTTCTTTTCCAGATGTAGACTGATTAAGTCGCATGACTTGCAAACTCTTTATCATGTGTCATGGTCGAGTGTATGTTTTTTTCACTATCAGATCGCGTATAGGTGAAAGGCTGAATCCTACTTGTACAGTTAAATATTATTCATTCTCACACCATTTTAATATCAGTATGAGCTATTTTTAAATGTGTGTCAGTGTAGTGCCATTTAAAATCATGTTGATCCACACTCAGTTGGCAGTTTATTAGGAACACTGGGTTAATACGGTCTCCTACATCTACTACAACAGTCCTGCAATAAATCCTTCTTCATGAAGGTTATATGTCCAGTTTTCTTTTCCTGTTTTGGATACCTTCAATTTTTAGTGCAACAAAAACAAAATGATGCCTTTTAACTTTAAAAAGATTAGAAAATGACAGTTGTGACTAATAATTCATTACATTAGAAATCTGTGTACACTAAACACACTCAAAGACAGACTGATCGAGAAACAGGTAGATATTTTATTTACAGCAACTCGCTCTCTTCAGCTCTCTGGCATATTCTTACATGCAACAAGTGCAAATTAAGATTATCTTTATCTTCCAGTCCTCGATAAGTCAAATTGATAATCACTATCTTTGTGTTTGCTGGTGCTGGCTAGCTGCTGATAATGTTGGTAAACTGAGAGGAGGAACTTGGACCTTTATCTTCATTTCCTTGGTGTCAAAGTCGCACTCGATGATAACAGATTTATTATCATGCAATAACACAGTAAAAGTATACTTAACATAATGTTATTGGTGTATCAATAATCTATAAGCACTAGGGACTGATGAGTTTGATATCCCACTGCCATGAATCTTCTTGTAAACCTCTGTAACCTGTGCTGAGATAAGGTAATTGGAAATTGGGCCATTTCCCCATAAATACACCTGTTTGTAAGAACAGGGTTGTTAAAAAATAGTTATGTAAGGCTCCAATAAAAATCGGCTTGGATAACAACCAGTTTTTTTTCTGTGCAGATTTAATGATCATAACATGTTTCCAAAAACATTATATTTAGGTGAATCCAACATGTCTAGACTGATATCATTTTAATAATTAAGTGGCATGGCTTGTTTACTGTGTATAGCACATTAAAATAAGTAAAATAAGTAACATTTTGAACTATTTAAAGAGAATTGCTAGCATTACTTTTGTTGAATTTATACACATATATTTATACGCAGATTTGTTGATGATGCACAACATGTCTTATCCTTTAAAATGCATCAGAAACGGTACATTGTGCTGCAGCTTTACTGTGCCACTGGTATTACCTAGCTAATATTTGAGAATAGGGATGTTTTTGTCTGGGTTATCTTGAATTGTTGTCACATCGTCACATTCTCCCATTTAATCTCTCATTTATATCATATCAATAATTTCAGTTTATAAACCTAATATTTTTCAGTGAGGACGTTCGGTATTGGGATCAATAGTGCTTGAAAAAAATACCCTCTATGTCAGATGTTAAGTTAATGCAGAACTTATAACAAACTGCATCAAACAGTGGATCGAGAAAATACACTCTGAACATCTTTGTAGTTTTTTTTCCACTCATAAAAACTGTCGACCACTCAGAGCTCTGTCCTGACCACTTGTTGCTGAGAGACAATTCTTCAATCCTTTGGGGATACTGAACATTTGACTCGCATTACTTCTACGATTAGCTCATCATGTTAATCTCCGCATGAGCGCTTGTGCAGGGCCATAGCCAGGGCAAAGGTCTAACAAGAGGCTGGGTTGTGGTGGTGGTGAGTCTGTTTTAATTTCCTGTGTTTTAGAGTACAAGATTTAATCTGCTCTTAAATGCTAATTTAATTTTTTCTGATTCTCTGCTGTCTGTATCATCATCTATTGGCTCTGTATATTCTCTCTGGACACCAGCAGAGTGTGATATATGTATGTACACTATGCAGGCAGTTACACACATTAATGTTATCTCTGTAATATAGATGAATTATGGCTCACTTATTCACTGTGTCATAGCTTTATCTATATGGGGCTGGAACAATAATCACTTAAATTTACAAAAACAACCAAAAGTTACCAAGATCCTGCACGATCCCTGTGTGCACACATCTCAATATGTACTGTATGTGTATTTTGAAGCAGCTGTGGCTCAGGAGGTAGAGCGGGTCATCCACTAAGCAGAGGGCTGGCGGGTTAATCCCCTCGTCCTGTCCATGTGTCCAAGTGTCCTTTGACACTGAACATGAGCTTGCCCCTGATGGGATGGCCACGGCAGCTGCATCATGTGTGTGCATGTGTAAAGTCCTGACAGCTTTGCAGATCAAACCAATTGAATACAATTCAATTAATAATCATATCATGATTTAATGTGTGGCTTTGTTATGTGGCTGCTTATTATTATCATCAAGAAGTGGCTCCACACGAATACACACTCATTATCCTGTTAAAGTAATCGTTCTTTATGGAACCCTCACTGCAGAGAATGTTGTCCAGTGCTCGGGGACATTTAATTTCCTGCAGACTGGGACAGTTGAGGTTTCGATTTCCTGCCTATGTCTGAAGTGTCCAGGATTTGTGTAGTTGAATGTTCCAATGCCTGAGGAAACATTAGGACATGAAAGAGCTGCAAGGCAACAGTTATAAAGTGTTGGAGAGGAAAGGTTTGAGGTGAATCCAGCTTTGCGAGAGCACACTCCAAGTTGCAGACAATGCACTCATGTCATCAGCCACTTTAGTTTGCCATCTGATTTGATGCTTTGGAAATCACAATGTGTTCTGCCAGAAAATCACTCAGAATTACAAGAAAAGCCTGAATGCCATGTTTATTATGAAACTTTCCATGGCCTTGCACAAACAGCCTTTGGATGTAAAACAGTATTTGTTTCTCCCAAAATGCAGATTTTTAAATTGTATATTGATTTGTTCTCTCTCTGCATATTTGAAGTGTCTCCCCTATTTATCAGTAGAATGACACAATTCAATTCAGTTTTACTTATATAGCGCCAAATCACAACATTATCTCAAGGTAATGATTAAACAGTGAGCGGGATTAGTTACATGTTGACTAAAACCAATTAATCAGCGAATTAAATGCAGAACCAAGGATGTCATTAAAAACATCCAGATGAATGTTGAAAAATACGCCTTGCTAGCACCGGGTTGGACCCTCTTTTGCCTTCAGAACTGCCTTAATTCTTAGCATAGATTCAACAAGGTGTTGGAAACATTCCTCAGTGATTTTGGTGCATATTGACATGATAGCATCACGCAGTTGCTGCAGATTTGTCGGCTGCACGTCCATAATGCGAATCTCCCGTTCCACCACATCCCAAAGGTGCTCTATTGGATTGAGAGCTGGTGACTGTGGAGGCCACTGGAGTACAGTGAGCTCATTGTCATGTTCAAGAAACCAGTTTTAGATGATGTGAGCTTTGTGACATGGTGCATTATCCTGCTGGAGGTAGCCATCAGAAGATGGGTACACTGTGGTCATTAAGAGATGGACATGGTCAGCAACAATACTCAGGTAGGCCGTGGCGTTTAAACAATGCTCAATTGGTACTAAGGGGCCCAAAGTGTGCCAAGAAAATTTCCCCTACACCATTACACCACCACCACCGCCAGCCTGAACTGTTGACACAAAGCAGGATGGATCCATGCTTTCATGTTGTTTACGCCAAATTCTGTCCCCACCATCTGAAGGTCGCAGCTGAAATCCAGACTCGTCCGACCAGGCAACGTTTTTCCAATCTTCTATTGTCCAATTCTGGTGAGCCTGTGTGAATTGTAGCCTCAGATTCCTGTTCTTAGCTGACAGGAGTGGCACCCGGTGTGGTTTTCTGCTGCTGTAGCCCATCTGCTTCAAGGTTCCTTTATTTATTGGGTTTTCATTGTAGTACTTCTCTCCTGTTTAATTAATCAAGTAACTCTTTGTGTCGGATGCTGGCACTAACATCAAAAGACCTGGATGTTACCTCCTCTCACCCAGATGTCACTGATTCAACATATGGTTTTCTACTCCAGCTCCGGTTCACAATAATTATCCATTCAGATCAGTTCGTCTTGACCCTCCTTTTGTTCTGAGAGAGGCATTTCCTGTTTGCTGCGAGATGAATGTCCAAAACCGAAGCAGTCAAAGCATCAAAGAGCAGAGTGATGTGCAAGTTGACAACCAATGCCAACTAGTTCTGAAGACTGTCCATCGATTCTGTTCCCCGCACTCCTCCAGTCGCTCTCCTGACTCTAAACTCAAATTCCCATGATTCTTGATGGCCCTGTTCAGACCTGGTATTAACATCCATCCTGAGAGATCTGATCAAAAGTTCATCTGTTAACACCTTGCATTAAATGTCCAGAATGTCTCTCCTGTGACCACTTGGGGTCAGACCTTACTTCTCCACACTATAGGAGATAGTCGAGTTCACCATTTGTATCTGCAAAGACAAAATATGTAGTCTTTATGCAGTCTGAGTTTAAAGATGTGTCCGATGTCACGGAGTGTTTGTCAGGCTGTCGGTGTGAGAAAAGCAAATCACATTTGGTTAATTGTGAATATGTAGCAGTCGATGCTCCTTCATACACTATGGCGCAGGATGCATTTGCATTCACACATTGAGAAGTGTCCATGACCACCTCTGTATAAGGTCTGAGTGATCAGGATCCATTTGGGTGAGTTCAGACGTGAACTCGAAGCAGAGCACCTGTGATCAGATCACTCAGGATGGATCTTAATGGCAGGTCTGCACACCTCTCTGTGGCGATCTATGATTGAATATGCTCTCTAAGTCCTGATTGTCTGATGACGAATGGAAACCCTCTATTTGGGTACTGCACGATGCACAAGATCCTCCGCAAAGCTTTACACAAATGCTAGATTTTCCCTCAGATGGCTGATGCTCGCATACTATCGCCTGCAAATCACATCCACTAGTTGTGGTCCTGCCCCAGGTGAACAGACCACTGATCAGGAATATTCAAAACATATTTTGACACGACCACAGTTCCTAAACCCTGAGAGGACAAACCTGTTAGCCAGACACATTATTTATCCCAAATGAGAAACACACGTCACGATCGACCTTGCTTGTACAAAAGAGGAAGTTGTTATGGTTATGGTCATTCGTAAAGAAAAACCTTTTAATGCAGCCCGCCACCCGACAAACCCCAATAACAGCCCTCTGGATTCCTTCCTGTCCCTTCCATCAAACGACTGCTCGTCATGAGGATTTCCTGCTTTTGTTTACTCTGTGTGGTTCCATGGGAAAAGATTTTTCAGACTTGCCCAGCGATTTAATTAAAACAATAACAGTATTATTAAGGACAATATTTTATCTAATTAAAGAAGTGGACACCGAAGAATTTTTGTTCCCCATATTGAAATTTGTACATTTTTTTTCTTCCCAGCAAACAGGTGTCCCTCTCAATGTGTCCATCCGTCTGCAGCTCAACCTGTACATCAAGAGAGTGTCAGGAATTACGTAAGTAACCTATTCCCTTAACTATTGTCACACCAGTAACATTTGTCAGGTATTGTGTTGGAATCTTTTCGTCCTTCAACATGAAGGGCTCGTGGATATTATATATATTTCCTGCTTTTCTTGCCAGTCTCTGTGTAACCTTGAGGTTTGAAGTCTGGTGTTCTTGTCTTTGTAGGGAAACTGGCCAGATTTCTGAGGTGGTGATGCCCATGATCTGGTTCGAGGAGGTGAGTCGTAACGTGTCTGACAGCCGCCCTGTATACACAGGAGCTGTTCTTATTGTTACCATTGTGTTCTCATCATTGTCTCAGTTTTGTGTAATTGTTGTGCAGATCTTAGTGTATGTCTCTTTTGCTTTGATTCCATTTTAAAAAGAGTTCCTGGATACTGGATACTTAGCACAAAAATTGGAGTTAAGAATTTTATTGAGAACATGACTATATTGATCTTTCACTTGTTACATTGTAAAATAAAATGGTCATTATCAGATAATTTCATTAATAGCATCAAAATATAATATCTAAAGCTTATATTGATTAGAAGTGTTTTCCCCATCATATGATGTCATACAATGAGTGACATCATGAAGACATCACTATTAAGTCAGCAAATGATGGCATGTAGTGTAGTTATTTATTCACCTGGGCCACAATTAAGATTGTAAATATGATTATTTAGTTTAACCAATCATTTGTCATCAGGTGACAGTGGCATCATAATGACATAATGATGAAATGGCATCATTACAATATAAAACAGTTAGCACTGACTGATAAATACATACCATAACGTGCAATATACATATTTATTAAACACTGTATTTATCTGTAAATGTACATATTCCTCAAGACCATGCACCTTACCTCTTTTTTGCACTGTTACCTAACCTTACTTCATGTCATATGTTTATATTGTATATATCTTTACACTGGTTGCACTGTTATTGGAGTGGTTTTGAAATCTCATTGTACATGTGTATAGTGACAATAAAGGCATTCTATTCTATTTTATTCTAAATACACACATACTGTATGTGTCTCCAGTGCTTTTCATTAGCATTGAAATTTGTTTATATTCTGGATTCTGTATTCTAACAACTGAATATTTTATTTTGGCAAAAAAGAGTTTTGCTCAATACTGGAACAGTCACTGACTATTTATCCCTTTATTTTTATCATTTCCCCCTCAGAGTGGATATATAGACGGGCCTATCCTCACCACGTTCCACACAAACCTGGTCATTCTTCCTGCTGTGATGGAGTACATGCAGTACGGCTTCATAGCGCTCGGCCTGGCAACGATAATAATTGCCACTCTGGTGCATCATAAAGTGCGGGTAAAGCTGCCACTCAGCATGATCTGACATGTTTGTTTTAACTGCATGCAGCATGTTGCCCAGTTGTGCATGTTCCCCCACAAACCAATGAAACTAAAGATGCACTGACACTGTTAAGACTGAAAATAGTTGAACAAGATTGACACTTTATACATGAAGGGTCTCCTCTGTTTAGCAAAATTAAATGTGATCATCAAATGTGACGACAACAAACTGCCGTGCTGCAGTCGAAAACAGCCATTACAAAGCGCTTCTCAAAGAAAAGCAAATAAAATCACCAACATCATTTAAAAAGAAAACAGTAAAAGCTGTTTAGGAACAGTGAGTTCTGGGAGATGATTTAAAAACAGAGCCCTCAAATGTAATCTTAGTTTGGCAAGTAATATTTTCCAGGGGGTCGGGCCGTGACAATGTCGTTCTTTGTCGTTATCCTCAACCTAACAAGCTCCGGGAAGCTCGATGCCAAACCATGCAGGGCCGTGAATTCTAAAACACACTGGCAGCCGATGATGGAGACAGATATGATCATGCTTCGGTTAAATGTCTGGTGGCTGCGCCCCCACCCCAAATTGCAATATAATGGGAAAGCATTGGTTAATGCAGAGTCAGTGCGGGCCTCTTTATCTGTTCAAACACATTGAGTCAGGGTCAGGCTCCATCGTCAGTCCAAACGTCAAAGTCAGGGTAAAACACAAAGTTAATAGTAATTGATAGCAGCATACATCAGGTCATATGAGGCTGGTGAACTCCTCCAGACACTCCTCTGGAAATATTATGTGGTTTGATCATTTTCTGTGGCACGTTGGCGTTGCCCAGTAAGCACAAGTTAACCGGCCACTGTGTGGTGTCAGACTTATGGCCCTCTGGTTTGGGCTCATTCAGCTCTCACATATACATTTAGCTGCCAAAACATCTTGTTATGAGGTGGCAGCTGCGTACACACACAAACTCAGAGTGTCAGAGTTAGAGTTGTCTTGCAGCAGCACTGTTAGCGGAATTTTATATAAA